CGTGAAATAATACGCGACGACACTAGCGCATTCTATTCAACGAGAAAATTTTTTCATTTAAAAAAAAAACAAAATGGAAGCGGTTTCAATCTTTGAATGTATTTTACGCTTATGTTTTTCTTATTGTTATCATCAATTTATTTACGAATCGAAAACGATCGTGATTGATTTGTTTATTTTATTTATTTGTTTGTTTAGATTTTGATTTGAAAAGCGCGGGAAATTTAAAAATTAATTAATTAATTAAATAAATCGTTGGGGAAAAAAAATACTACGTTTATTTATTTATTTATTTATTTTTTATTTATTGCTTTTTTTTTTGTTCAAACAACGTTAAATTAATTTTTTTTTTTTATGGATGGAATGAGATGGAAAACAAATAAAAAAGAGACAGAGAGAGAGAAAGAGAGAGAGAGAGAGAGAGAGTGAGAGACAGAGAGAGAGATAAATGAATGATTATAAATTATTAAATATTAAAAATTTATTTGTTCGCTCGAGAGTCATTAAAACTATTACACGCATTTGGTTCAGTTTTAAAAAAATAATAATAATAATAAAATTTAAATTATTACACGAAATTGTAACGGTTTTTTTTTTCATTCCCCTTAAGGTTCATATATTTAAATGATTGAAAGTTTTCCCTTCTCTCTCTCTCTCTCTCTCTCTCTCTCTCTCTCTCTCTCTCTCTCTCTCTCTCTCTATCTCTCTTTTCTCGAGTCTCTCAATGGTCGAATCAGTTTTTCTCCGTTATATTTCAATTTAAATTTTCTCTTTTTTTTTACATACCATAAAGTCTATTAATAAGTTTAAAAGGATAAAAAGGAAATAATAAATAAGAGAGAGAGAGAGAGAATGTGTGAGGATATGAAAAATCGTTACAATTTTTTAAAAAGGGAAAGGAGGCATAGAGTAATAATAAAACGAATTTTTTTTTTCTTTCTTCCTCCTCCTTTTTGGAAAAAATTATATGTTAATTAAAAAAAAAATGGAAAGTGAATGGGGGGAGGAGGGAGGGGAGATGAAAGAGTTTTGAAATAAGCAGACGAAACCTTTTTATTATCAAATATGAAACCTTTTGTTGTTGTTTTTTATTGATAATCGATATACAGATATTGTAAAAAAAAATTTTTTTAAAAAAGGGTAACGAAAGGGAAATAAAAATTTAATTACATAAGTAATATTACTAAAGGTGGGGGAGGAGGGGCGTATCGAAATGAAGAACGATCTATTATTATTATTTTTGAAAACTTCGATACGTAACGGTTTTTAAAAAGTTTAAAATAAATAATAATTTACGCCGCGTTAATTTTATTAAAAAAAAAAAAAAAAAATTTTTGTTACAAAAAAAACTTGAAGTTTTTTTAAAATGTTAAAAAAAAAAAAACTTTTTCATTCTTTTCTTTCGAACCGTTAAGAGTGTGAGAGAGAGAGAAAAGCGTAAAACATGGCGAACTCGAATTTAACAAAAAAAAAAAAACAACAGAGTCGTGAAAAAAAAAAATTTTTTTTTCATCACTTTTAAAAGATGATAATAGATCGTGAGAAATAAGAAAAAAAGAAGAAAAAAAAGTCATTTTTTACAGTGGAAACAATCCATTTCCGGTTTCGTAAAGTGACAAACGTTTTTTTTTTTAAAAAAAAAAAATAATTTAACCGAATCATTTATTTAAATTAAATTTTTCCTTGTCGATTTCTTTTTTTTAATAAAAACACTCTCAACTCCTATCGTCGTTCGTTCGTTTGTTTGTTTGTTTGTTTGTTTGTTTGTCTAAAAAAAAAAATTGTTTTCTATAAGATTTTAATTTTTTTTTTTTTTTCAATTTAGTCAAAAAAAATTAATTATTATTCAATATTATATAATTAAAAAATGACGTAAACAAAATGATTTTCCATGAATCGTTTTTTTCTCAAAGTCAATAATAACAATATTGATAGAATATATATTGATAAAATGATAAAACAATTGATGAAACAACCCTCGTGTAAAAAAAAAAGAAAAAAATAATTTAATAATAATAATGATAATGATAATGAAGTTCTCGAGACGGAAAACATGGCGCCGAACGGACATGGGAAATAAGCGGGGAAAGGAAGGAAGGAAGGAAGGAAAGAGGAAAAATGTCGAAAACGTGAATGTGACGGTTATGGCGATTTATTATGTTTAATAAAACGTGTAAAATTTCAAATTGAGATTTTTCTCGTGGTTAAAAATGGGGGGAAGGGAAAAAGGCAAACGGGAGGAGAATTGAAAAGGGGGAGGAGCTTAGTTCGTGTTAAATTTCGGTTCAGGCACGAGTGTAAATAATAATAGCAAACGTTAATTCGAGACGAATTTACAATATGGAAGATATTTCGTCGTGTAACTAGAAAAAAAAAAAAGGAAAAAAATTTTTGTAGCCCGAAGGTTTAAATCCGATTCCATCGAATGAATTTTTTGAAATAAAATCTGGAAAAAGAGTCGAAAATCCTGGATAAAAAAAAAGAATAAAATAAAATAAAATAATAACCTTTGAACCTTAAAATCCTAAGTTTTTTTTTTTTTTTTTATTTCCGTACGCGGTCAAAAGTTTATTGAGATAAATTTTTTTTTTTTCCTTCCACAAAGGAAATTGAAATTACAAAGGTTTTACGAAAAGGAAATGATTAAGAATTTCGGGGGGGAGGGGGGTTTTTATTTCCCGCCAAAATTTTTTTTTATTTTTTTGAAACATTTCGATGGAAAAATCGAATCACGTGATTTTTACCTACGCAAAAAAAATTTATGCGAATCCTTATGTTTGTGTCAAAAAGGTTCAAAAAGTAATTTTTTTCAAACATTAAAATCAAAGAAAAAATAAAATAAAAAAATTTTCATTTTTGAATCGATACCGAGTCGTTGAATCCGCACCTTCTCATTCTTTCCCGTAGTTTTTTTCTTTTTTTTTTTTTTTAATTTATCCTCCATTCCTTGTCTTGTTACACGTTAAAAATCAAATAAACCATTATTGAACATGAACATTTTTTTTATTTAATTATTATTATTATTATTATTATTATTAAGAAAGAAAGATAGAAAAAATTGAAAAAGAATAAAGGAAAAAAAAATAACTTGAACATTTTTCAACAAGCACGAACGAACGCACGCACGAACGCACGTACGAACGCACACGTACAAAAACTTATACATTTTGGAATTTTGAACATTTATGTAATTACAAACGTTTTACGTAATCATTATCATCATCATCATCATCATTAAAACTTTATCGATTATGAAAAAAACAAGGAAAGAAAAATACAACTCTCGTACGCACGCACGCACGCACGCACTTTTTATTGAAAATTTTGTTATGTGATCTCTCTGCTGGATGATCTGAATCTCGATATTTAATATTTATTAAAACAATCGGAAAAAAAAAATTAGATTTAAATTAAATCCCGTCGTGTCAATAAATTATTATTATTATTATTATTATTATTATTATTATTATTATTATTATTATTATTATTATTATTTTAAATTGAAAAAAAATAAAAATCATAATGGCGTGTGAAATGAAAATTTACTTATTAATTAGAGAATGAACGGATTTTGAATGAAGAATGGGTCGGATGGAGTGATGGGATGGGGTGAAAGGGGTGAGATGGAAGGGGGAGGGATGGGGGGAGAGGGAAAAAAAAAGAAAATAGATTTTTCGAGTGCCATATAAAAAACGTTCGAAATCCAATTAGAGTTAATTATTGATCATTAATTAGTGGAGATGATTAAGTGAAAAATTAAATTTTTCATATTTTGTTTTTTGGGGATGGGAAAGAAAAATGGAGGGGAAATTGAAGAAGGAGGAGGAGTTAATCGAAAGTGAATCGGAGGAGAAATTGAAGGAGGAGGAGTTAATCGAAGGTAGAATCAGAGGGGAAACGAAATAAAAAAAAAATGAAGGTGACGGCGATTAAGTGAAATGTGGAGGGGAAACGAAATAGATTTTGGAGGGGAAATGAAATTGGAGGAGGAGAACAAATTGGGGGAGAGGGAACTAAGGGGAAATTTTTTAAAAAGAGGCGAGTTCATATACGATGAGTCGAGGATATTTTTTTGGGTTTCAATTTAAATTCCCCGATTTCCGTGTTTAGATATTTTTATCATTATTATTATTATTATTATTATTTTAAAAAATTTTTTCCCGCCGATTTATTTCAATCAGTCGTTTCTCTGACATTTTCCCTGTTTTCAATTAATAATCGGCGTCATCAAATCCACCATTTCATACGATTTTTCATTAATTGAATCTCTGCAGCGGTACCTGAACCTTCGGTGTAAAAATTTCAATTTTTTTCCGCCATTTTTTAATAATTAAAATTTTTTTTTTCTTTTTACCGTAATCCGTTAGACGGATAATTTTTCCCTTTTTTCTTTTCCTTCGTGCTGTCGGTATGGATTTGTGGATTTTGTGAAAATTTTCCGTGAGACGCGCCAAAGTCCGATTGCACAGTTTTGTCATTTTAAACCGCATTCCCTACATATATTTTCCAATGCAAACATTTAATGCCCCCTCCCCCCCCTTTTTTTTTTAAATTTATACTCTTTTCAATCTCGAATCGTCAACTTCGAGATCCGTTTCGATAAATACCCGTCACGTTCGATGCATTCATTCGAATTCAAATCCTAACTTTTTTCCCCTTAATTTCACGTTTTTTTTATAAAAATTTATCCAGCTTTGAAAGCATTGATAATAATAATAATAACAATCATTATTAGTAACAATCAATTTAACGTCGTCGAAAAAAATAATAATGATAATAATAAAGAAAAAAAATTTAATTAATTCCTATCGTTTTTTTTAAGCCTTATTTGTTCAACCCACTATAAAGTCTATAAATTTCAAATTCTATAGTTTCTCTTCTTTTTTTTATAATAAAGAAGATTATTTGAGGAGCTTTAACAAAAAAAAATCACGACAACGACAACAACAACAACGTTTAAATCAAATGAAAAATTTCATTTAATAAAAAATAATTTAGCCATGTTGTGATGACGTCACGCGTAATAATAAAGTCACGATGGAATTAATTGGAAAAAAAAATTTTTTTCTCGGAGATTTCGAAAAAAAGATTATTATTATTATCATTATTAATTTCATCATCGTCAACGTCATCATCATCATAATCATCATCATCGTTGACGTTTTATTAATTTTTTTTTTTTTTAATTTTTTTTTCCAGAGAAAACGAAAGTGGAAACATATTAGACAATCTTCTGTCACGTATGGAACAATATGCAAACAATTTGGAAGCATTGGTTGAAGAAAGAACGTCAGATTATCTGGAAGAGAAAAAAAAATGCGAAGAACTTTTATATCAATTACTTCCAAAGTTTGTTTATCTTACAATGTGACACTTTTTTCCAGAAGAAAAGAAAAGTGGAAAATCTTAAATTTAAAAATTTTCCTCGTAGGTCCGTTGCGAGTCAGTTGATAAAAGGTCAATCGGTCATTGCGGAAACATACGATCAAGTCACCATTTATTTTAGTGACATTGTCGGATTCACGTCACTTTCTGCTGAGAGCACGCCCATGCAGGTCGTGGATTTGCTCAATGATCTCTATACCTGTTTTGATTCCATTATTGAAAATTTCGACGTTTACAAGGTAAGCAACCCTCCGAGTGATAACTCTTATCAAAGGAAAACAAACCTATTAGAGAGAAAACATAATGATGGCGATTCGAAACAATTCGGGGGATTCGTAACAATTTAAGAAGAAAGAAAAGCGGAAAAACAAACCGACAGACGAAATATAAAATAATAATAATAATAATAAACGAATGGGAAACGACGACAACGACGGCGATGATGACGATAATAATTAATTGCATGAAAATTAATTACTATAAACTTAAACTATATAAATTATAGCTTGTTATTTACAAGACCAAAAAAAAAAGAAATTACGAGCATAAAAAAATGTTATGGCGGTTAGGAAGGAAAGAGAGAGAGAGAGAGAGAGAGAGAGGGTAAAAATGTTTATAACATCTCTATTATTTGTCATTAAACTTAAATGTTTTACATCATTATTATTATTATTTTAGTAATCGAAAAGTAGTGAAAATTTTCTTTTTTTTTTTTTATCGATTTGAACAATTTAAAATTTTAAAATCTTTTTTTTTTTTTTAGAGTTGAAAGAATATTATAGAAAATTCTAGAATAAATTTTTTTTCTTTTTTTTTTTCATTTTATAGTCATTAATAGTCAAGTTTAAAAGACTATAATTTATGCTATAAAAAGAAAAAGAAGAAGAAAAAAAGTTGACTCGTTTGTGCAATTTATTATAATTCTTTTTTCGAATCTCTCTCTCTCTCTCTTTCTCTCTCTCTCTTTCTCTCTCACTTTCTTTCTTGGTTTTTCTGTCTTCCTTTCTCTTCCTGTCCACCCTCTTCCTCTCTTTGTCTACCATCTTTCACTCTCTCTCTCTCACTTTCTCTTCTTTCCCACCCTCTCCCTCTCTCAATTTCTCTCTCATCTACCCCCTTTTTCTTCTGTCTACCATGTTTCACTTTCTCTTTCTTCCTCTTCCTGTCTCTCACGTTCTCTTTCTTTTCTATTTTGTCACAACTGACTAGTTCTTTCCCATTTTTCGTCTTTGTATCTCTCTCTCTCTCTCTCTCTCTCTCTGTCTCTCTCCCCCTGTATTTTTTTTTCTTCCTTCCTCTCTCTCTTTTCCTTTTTCTATCTCTCTCACTCCCTATCTCATCTATCTTTTCTCTCACTTTCTGTTCCTACCGACCTTCTTCCTCTGTCGGTCTACCATCTTTCACTCTCTCTCTCTTCCTTCCTTTTCCGGTCTCCCTCTCGTTCTCTTTCTTTTCTATTTCGCCACGACAAAATATTTCTTTCTCATATCTCCTTTTTATATTTCTCTCTCTGTATTCCTCTTTTTCTTCTTTTTTCTCTCTCACTTTCTCTCCCTACCTAACCTCTTCCACTCTCTCACTTTCTCTTCCTACCTAACCTCTTCCACTCTCTCACTTTCTCTCCCTACCTAACCTCTTCCACTCTCTCACTTTCTCTCCTACCTACCCTCTTCCTCTCTCTCTCTGTCTCACTCTCTGTCTCACTCTCTGTCTCATCTACCCTCTTCCTCTCTTTCCCACTCTCCTCTCTTTCTTCCTCTTCCTGCGTTTCTCACGTTCTCTTCCTTTTCTATTTCGCCACGACAGACTGTTATTTCTTTCTCATTCACACATACTAAATTTTTTCACAATTCCAGGTCGAAACTATCGGTGACGCTTACATGGTAGTCTCGGGTTTACCGGTACGAAATGGAAATTTACACGCAAGAGAAATAGCAAGGATGTCATTGGCGTTGCTGGGTCAAGTTCAAGATTTCAGAATCAGGCATCGTCCGACGACACAGCTTAAATTAAGAATAGGCATGCATACGGGACCCTGCGTCGCCGGAGTCGTCGGTTTAAAAATGCCAAGATATTGTCTTTTCGGTGACACGGTAAACACAGCATCGAGAATGGAATCCAATGGCGAAGGTAATTATTATCATCAAATAGTTTTTTTTTTTTTTAAAACATTTTACAAAAAAACGACTTTTTTACTTACAAAAAAAAACCCCATTCCCTTCCTCCCCTTTCTTCCTACCCCTACTCTCTCCCCAACCTTCTTCTTATTTTATTTTCGCAGCGTTAAAAATTCACGTGAGTCCTAAAACGAAAGAAGTTTTAGACACATTTAAAACATTCGAATTGGAATACAGAGGAAAAGTCGAAATGAAGGTACGTTTTCCCCCCAATTTTTCTCGCACCCGCGCACTCGCGCACCTTTTTAAAAACGTCTCCTATTTACACAGGGCAAAGGAGTCATGCCGACATATTGGCTTTTGGGTGAAAAAAAATTACAAAAAGAAGAAGAAGTAGAAGACTGTTTAACGGATGAACCTCTCATTCCAATATCATCATCGGAACCGATGATGACGTCGACAACGATGACGTCATCGTCATCCCCCCTATCAAACAAATACGTTTCCTCTTCACCAACGACAAATAATAAATTAGCAAATAATAATATATCGAACCAAATACATAATAATATAGATAATAAAAATTGTAATATCATTCCGAATTCTAGTACGCCTTTACTAACGAACGCTTCGAGAGATTCTTTAGTTTAAATAAATCACATCGATCGATAAATCAATAATCATCGATAAATCGAATCGATTTTTTGAAATTCTTTTTCTTTTTTTTTCTCGTGTCATTTTAAATAAAAAAATATTTATTGAAAAAAAAGAAAATTTTTTTTATTATTATTCTTATTATTTGTAGAAATTTTTTCTTATTAAATAAAAAAAACAGTATTATTATTATTATTAATTAAAATAGTTTATCATTATTATTATTATTGTTTTGTTTATAAATCGTTTATTATTATTATTATTATTATTATTATTATTATTATTACCGTTAAAAAAAGTAAAAAAAAGATTTTATCTTTAATCTGTGTTTTTTTATGTTTAGTTTGTGTTTGTGAGTGTTTGACTCTTTTTCCTTTTTTTTTCGTGTGAATGATTGATTGATTGATTGAATGGAATCGTACTAAGGATGAATGAATGTTAAGAAAAAAAAATTCGAATTAACGTTTATATATACATATATATATTGAATGTAATTTAATTAAACGATACACACACATATAAACACATAAACACAAAACAAACAAAAAAAGCAGAAAATACTCTATTATATATATATAAAATTAATTAATTAATTATTTCGTTAATTATTTTTCTAAGATTGTGAAAAAAAAAAACAAAAAAAAAAAAAAAACTGGAAATGTAATAATAATAATAATATGAATTAGATTTCTAACGGTGAATCGAAGAAAATTCTTTTTTTTTTTCCAATTTATTTTCAAATTCTGAATGTTATGTGAATAGAATTTGTTTTTTTTTTTTTTTGTTTTATTTTTGGCTTTTTATTTTTATCAGTACCTGTTAACAAATTGAAAAACTTTTATTGTTTAAATAAATTCTATTTTAAAAAAAAAAAAAAATTTTTATTCCTATCTCCTATTTTTCTTTCTCCCCCTCCCCCTATCCTTCCCTCCCCTCTCCTCTCTCTCCCATTTTTTTTGTTGACAGTGCGAACGCGAGGGAGATGCCTGCGTCCCGGGACGTGGCCACCTCGCCTATGGCGCTGCGGCCCGAGAGGTCGTTTATGCCGACGTTTGCGTCGGTGGCGAAGGCGACGACGGACTCGTCGCGGTGTGGCCGCGAAAGGGGGAAAGCGTGCGAAACAAGTCGCTGCAGGCGAGAGGAAGAAAATCGATGAGTCCGCTCCTGCTAAGGAGGTGCAGGAGCAATCCAAGTCCCAGGGGGAAAAACCGAAGTCGGCTCCGGCTGCCGCTTCGGCCCAAAAAATAAAAGCGTCGCGGACGGACGCGGTGGTGTTGAACAGGAACGAGGGTACCAAATCCTTCGCCGAGGTCTTGGCCGCCGCGAGAGATCGTGTGGATCTGGCAAAGTTAGGAATCGACTCCCCTTAGAATCCGTCCGTCCGCGAACGGAGGGAGGGTTTTCGAATTTAAGAGTGAAAACAGGGCGGCCAAGGCGGCGGAGCTGGCCGCGGAGCTTTTGAAGGTCGTGGGGCCGATGGGAGTCACGGCGACGTGCCCCACGAGAAGGGTTGACCTCCGCGTCGAGGGTCTCTGCGACATAGCTCTCGCATTGTCAGGGGCGGGCGGATGTTTTATCTCCGACGTTTTGGTGCATCCTCCGATCGGAGGGGCGCACGACCGCGACTGGGGTTCGCGTCCGTTCTCGCGGCCGCCGCGCCCGTCCTCCTCGAGGCGGGCAATGTGACTGTCGGTTGGGTCAGAGCGCCGGTGGTTCTCTCGCCGAAGCGAAAGGCCGTGTGCGGAGGGACGGGGCACCGGTAGCGCGATTGGGCGAACTCGATTCGTTGCGCGGCGTGCGCAGAGGTCGGCCGTCCGGCTAATCACCGGTTGGGCGGTCCTTCGTGTTCGGCGCCTTCGGTCAAGGGAAAAGCCATCCGTTGGAGTGCGACTGGGGTGCAGGGGGGTGAGACGCGGGAAGCTTCTTCGTGCGAGCCGAGAACGAACGGCTCTGCCCAGAGTTCGACGTAAACATGGCGAAGTTTCTCCAAGTCAATTTAAATCACTGCAGGAGAGCGCAAGATCTTTTGCTCAATCAGGTGGGCTCGTGGGGGGTCGACATCGTCATGATTTCGGAACCCTACGCCGTTTCGAAAAGGGGGGAAAGCCGCGATGGTTTTTGGTTCGATTCCGAGGACGGAGCGGCCGCGATTCTATTCTTGAACTTGGTCCGGACGCCGAGGCCTCGGGAACTTTCACGGGGGAGGGTTTCGTTCTGGTCGGATGGGGAAACGTAGTTCTGGTGTCCGCTTACGCGTCGCCGAATCTTCCCGTCAGCCAGTTCGAGAATTTCTTGCACGCGCTCACGAGGGAGATCGATCGGTTCAGGGGGGTCTTGTCCCACTTTCGTCTGCGGCGACTTCAACGCTAAGCACGTCTCGTGGTCGGGATACGCAAACAACGCGCGCGGCCGACTCCTCAAGGAATGGTTCGACTCGCGTCATTTCGTCGTGCAAAACCAAAGGGGGGGGGGGGTAAAACTTACGTGCGGGCCACCGGCGAATCCGCGATCGATCTCACGGTTTCTTCCGTCGCGGCCGCGGCGTGGGTCTCCGGCTAGGAGGTCCTTTCCGATTTCGAGTCCCTGAGCGACCACGTCTACCTGGCGTTCTCGTTCGGGGCTCCTCGGAGTTCGGGGGGGGGGGGGTTGCCTCTCGGTCCGGCAGTCCTCGAGTCGTCGTTCCGCCCCGGTGGAGCCTGAGGTCGATGGACCAAGAGCGGCTCGTCGAGTGTCTCGCCGCGGAGTCGTGGCGAAGGGCCAACGTTTCGGGGAATAAGAACGCCATCGAGATGGCGCGGGCGATCCGGGACGATTTGCATCGAATATCCAATTCGTGCATTAGGAGGGTCGGTTCGCCATCGAACGAGCGCAAGCGGTCTAAATACTGGTGGACGGATGCGATAGGAGAGCTGTGGAAGGAGTTCTGCCTCGCACGTCACCGGTTCGTCGGCAGAAAAAGACACTTGATCAAACGGGGAGACGCTACGAGGACATCGTGAACGACAACGAACTTGCGCATTTAAAGGCGGAGTGAAGGGCTTCGAGGGTTCGCCGAGCGATATTAAGTTTCAAGGAGGTGTGTTGGAAGGAGCTCCTGAGCGAAGTGGATTCGAATCCGTGGGGTCTTCCGTTCCGTCTCGTGACCAAGCTGAGGGGTTCGTTGGGACCGCTGACGGCCGGCATGACGGAGGAGTTTCGCGCAAAAATGATCGCAAAGGTCTTCCCTCTCGTCGAACCGTTCGCGTTTCCTCCGGCGGATTTCCCTTACGACGAAAATCGCGACACCGCAGTGACGGAGAGGGAGGTTCGCCTTCTCCTCGACGCGGCCTCGAAGAGGCGCTCGGCTCCGGGCCCGAACGGCGTGCATTACGCATACTCGGCAAGTCCACCGGGGTGCTGTGTGCGCGTCTCTCGGCGCTTTACACCGCGTGCTTCCAAGAGGCGACGTTTCCGACCACGTGGAAAGAAGCCAACTTAATTTTGCTCGACAAACCGGGTAGGGATCCGACGACGCCGAGTGCGTATCGGCCGATTTGTCTTCTCGATGTAGAGGGCAAGTTGTTCGACCGCGTGATCGCGTCCCGGATAGACGAACACTTACGATCAGGGGGAGGGAGGAACGACCTCTCTCCGAATCAGTACGGCTTCCGGACGGGCCGTTCGACGACCGACGCACTCGACCGCGTGTGCGCCGGAATCCGGGACACACTTCGCCGGGGCGGCGTCGCGATCACCGTCTCCATCGACATCAAAACCCGTTCAATTCGGTGAATTGATCCACGGTATTGGTATCATCTTTCTCGGAGAGAAAGATCGCGTACGAGAAACCGGACGGAACGATGGGAAGGGCGGACGTGTTCTGTGGCGTGCCTCAGAGATCGGTTCTAGGACCACTCCTGTGGAATATCGCCTACGACTGCGTCGTCACCCGGACCGTTCTTCCCGAAGGGGTGGTTCTCGATTCCGGTCTTTACTTCGGCGAACATCTGGCGCACATCGGACCGAAGATCCGAGCCGTTAGGACGCCTGATGCCAAACCTGCGCGGACCGCAGGCCAGGGTCAGGCGATTATACGCGACGGTCGTTCACTCCGAGGCCCTGTACGAAGCTCCGATCTGGGCCGAGTAGGTTTCGGCAGCTTGGCCTCTTCGCGAGAAGGCAATACAACTCCAAAGGGCGTCTCTGAACAAGGCGGCGATGGCTTACAGGGACTTCGCGGCGGAGGTGGCTTGTCTTCTGTCGGGCACTCCCCCGCTCGATCTCCTCGCGAGGGAGAGACTCGTCCTCTATATATATATATATATATATATATATATATATATGTATGTATATAAAGTTACAGTATTAAGAAGAAGAAGAAGAAAAAAAAGAAAAGTTCTATCATTTTTGTATGTAATGTTTATTTTTATTTTTTATTTTTGTTTTTGTTATTTAACGTTATGTAATTGTAATATTAACTGTTAACGCTGTTTTTTTATTGTATTCTCACTTTTATTATTTGTATGTTAACTTGATGAATAATATATATATATATATATATATATATATATATATATATATATATATATATATATATATATATATATATATATTGCTTTTATAATACGGCCACGAATAAATATTTA